TCCCCCCCAGATGATGATACCTGCTCCCAGTGACCGCCCTCACACATGTACCAATGTGACTTTGTGGGGACCGCTGAGACTCAGTCTGTTACAATTGGCATCAGTTGCTACCGGCAAGTCATCACAAGAACCTGACCTTGGTAAGCGCATTTTACACTTGAGTGCTATTCATCCGGGTGACACCAAGCGGGGGCTGGGGAGGCAGGAAGACAGACAGTGACAGTGCCAGAGCATGCTGCCAGGCACTGCCCCCCACCCCACAGGCTGCAGAAGCTGCCTCACCCACACAGAGAGACTGAGCCTGCAAAGCCAAATTTCTGAGCTGCTGCTGAGACTCCCATAAAAAGCAATGCTATTTCTAACCTCCCTCACCATGGAAAACTACACATGCCACCAAGCAACCCAGAATCTCTGAAAGGTTTATTTTTATACTCTTCCCCACGCCCCCTACCCTTACTTCCCCCACAAAATTTTTAGGTGGAAAATTTGCTAGCTTTTTAGCAGTTTGACACTACTGTGCTAGGCATGGGCTGACGAAGCTGCTAGCTTGTTTGATTTTAAAGCAAAATGAAAAGGTATTTTTCTGATACAGCTCTGAATGAGTCTACTTTAAGAAAATAATGTAGTCTAATAATAGAAGGACACAATCCAACAAATAGGCAAAGAAAATTCCCAAGTTCGCAGACCACAGACAGAAATAACAGAGCTAACAAGTTTCTCTTCCCTGTCTCTAAAAGTGGTGCTTCTGCTTGCTGGACTTTCTCTTCACATTGCTGATTTTTCCTAATTCGAACATGCCACAAAGTATCCCTGATGCCCTTGCAGAGTTTCGATTTTTCTTTTGCTGTTCTTAACCTTAAAGACTGAGGCAAAAGCAGTGAGATGGACTGCAGATCTGAGTCCCCTGACCCTGTGTATACATGGGGTAGGCAGGAGGGAGGGAGGAAGGAGAGAGAGGAAACAGGAAGAAGGAGGGCCTGAATGAGGCCTCGAGAACCCAAAAACTCTTTCAGAAGCCAAGGGGCAACCTAGAACTAGTCAACCTGGGCTCTGTCCCGGAACTCCTCCCAATGGGAACTTTGGTGTCACTTCTCCAATGACAAACTGGAAGGCCAGAGAGGCACCAACCCACCACCGTCTGGCTTCTCACACAGACAGGAAGTTTTAGTGCAGCCTCTGAATGATCCTAACCTAATTGTAAAGCAGAGTTTAATCCTCCTTCGAGTTAGGGAACCTCCAGCACAATATGGTCATTTACACCATAGCTCCAAACGTTTTTGTTTGATCACATTTTCACAGTTTAATCTATTTTATTATACCTGCCAAGGAAACATCTGGAGAAAATAAGCCTTGCTTTATTTACCAGTGTAGAAAGCAGAGACCGACACTCAAAAGTATCCCTTCTCCCAGCACTACTGATCCTCTTTGAGTTTCCTTAATAGTTGAAATTTATGGGACTCCTGAGTGGCTCAGTCGGTTAAGCGTCTGCCTTTAGCTTGGTTCATGATCCCGGGGTCCTGGGATCGAGTCCCACATGGGGCTCCTTGCTCAGCGGGGAGCCTGCTTCTCCCTCTGCCTGCCGCTCCCCCCTGCTTATGCGCTCGCTCTCTCAGAAATAAATAAATAAAATCTATAAAAAAAAAATTCAACACAAAGCCAAGGAAGTTCAGGTCAGGGATGTATGGCCAGCATCTAAGGTTATGTTTTTATATATTTTATTCATTTATTTGTCAGAGAAAGAGAGAGAGAGAGAGAGAGCACAAGCAGGGGGAGCAGCAGAGGGAGAAGGAGAAGCAGAGCTGAGCAGGGAGCCTGGTGTGGGACTTGATCCCAGAACCCTGGGATCGTGACCTGAGCCGAAGGCAGACGCTTAACCGACTGAGCCACCCAGGAGCCCCACAGGTTATTTTTTTTAATGCTGAAGCATCTCCCCACTGGGACCATAGTTCTTACACGGGAAGACTTTGACACTGCTCCCTGTTCCTCACCATCTACTTCAGATCCTTTAAGGACCTTAAAGGAAACCAACAGAGAGGTGGGATTTTCCCCATCTGAACCTTTCCTATGTGTGCTGAGAGCCAACCAGATCTAAGTCTGAGGTTTTTCTCTCACGACAAGGACAGGAAAGGGTGTGAAAAGCTTGAATTAATGATTTCTTCACCTACATCCTAGAGGCATTGTGCTCAGTCAAGTCACCAGCACTAGCATTCCACCACGCCTGGCTCCAGCAAGAAGATGCCTCATGAAATTCCTCAGCAAACCTCCTCCATCCTAAAGGGGACAGAGAGATCCATGCCTCTACTCCCTTTTCTCTGATCCTGCCAGCACATGGTCCTTGGACCAGAACTAGCATTTGGATGGCAAATAACTGACATTTTATTGAACTCCTACTGTGTGTGAATGCTGAACTAGACATCTTCACAATAATTCCACAAGATATATATTATCCCATTTAAAGATGAGAAAAGCTGAGACTCAGAGAGGCTTAGGATTTGTCAGAGTAAAACAGTGAAGGAAAGTGGCATGGACAGAATTTGAGCCAAAGGCCGTGTTTCCAGCTATACCTTACAAATGTGATACAGCCAAGAGGTATCTGTCTTCCAATTTATCAAGGAGGTCACAATTTTAAATTTTAAAATACATTTAATAACAACCTAAACATGGTAACACAACCCCATTTTAGAACCAAGTCCAAAAAAACCCACCATACAGTAAGACAGGCACATTCTGCAGTTAGTGCAAAAATCCAGACCTCCAAGCAGTTGGAGCAGAGTCGTAATATGCCACCTTGTCCATCTTATCAGCACTTAGGAATGTCTCACGGTCCAGCTGTGAGCTTTGAGAGACAGAATTTTACAAGTAACAGAACAAATATAAATTCCAGGACAGTCAGCTGTAAGAACCTATTTTAGAGGTGTGAAAGTTCTTGCAACACCTCAGGATCCAAGTATGGTGCCTGAAAATGACCCGAGATGCACAAAGCAACACGCAGGTCTGCAGACAGGGATCTGTTCTTTAACCATTCTAATGTTCATAAGGAGCAACACAGCCTTGTATTTAATTTAAAATCCATATACAGTAATGTAGTCAAGAGAAAGATTTCCATTACCAATTTTGAAACCTGCTTAAAATAACTGACAGAATGAGGTAACCCCATATATGGTGGGAAATCGGGTTCTTATGTAATTTGCAAGTATATTTCTACTTTTGTCAAAATTTTGTAAATCAAGCTGTACAGTCCTTAGGAGCATAGTTCAGTGGTATTTCAATTATCCAGTAAAATTCTATTTGAAGATGGCTTTAGTTTTTGGTGGGTAAGATTAAAGAGGACTGTATCTGAGATGATGAAAGAGTAACTAAACCGTGCCCCCACTCTCTTCGGCTCTGGTAGGGATGAGCTGTTGCCTCCCACCTTAAGCTGGTAGTGGGCATGCCAAATTATGGAAGAAAAATAGCACAACTCATCAACACTCACCAAGTAAGGGGTGCCTGGGTGGCTCAGTCGGTTAAGTGTCCAACTCAGGAAAGAAACACATTTGAACTGCATTCACTCAACAACACAGAGGAATTGCCCCCAACATGGACTCAGAGTGTGTGTGTGGTTTGTTACATACTGCATGCTTCGTAGCACCTACAATTTTAGGAAGGTTCCAAACTGTGAAAAGTCCATTTAAATTCAAGGGTCTGTGTGCCTCAGTGAGGAAGCACATTAAATCACTCCAACTGCCTCATCTACTTTCAACCGCAACCATAAATAGAAAGCTTGGATATGCTCTGAGACAGCATCCAGGGTGGGAATCTTCATCAGTTCATTTCATGTGACAAAAGTTTTACTGAACTCCTCCATTATACCAGGCACTGCTTTAGGCCCTGGGGATAGCGGGAGGGAAGGAGGGAGATTCTCGCCCTTATAAAGCTTACAGTCTAGTAAAAAACTTGGAATAAACAATGAGTCATACCTGGCACATTAAAATTTAGGAAAAAGTTGCACCTTATATCTTACAGAATTTCTTACTTTCCTGAAGACCCTCATGTATTTCTTCATTTAATGTTCGCCATAGCCGCAATTAGGCAGAACAAGAATCACTAAAATCAATTAAGAATTGACAAAATAGAGGCACTGAGAGGTGAAGAGGTATGTCTAAAGTGAAAAGCTGGTGGCAGGCAAGCTGAGGCAGGGTAGGATGCTCCTGGCACCCTCCCAGCACCTTCAGTGACTGTCCCCCCCAAGGGCTGGCTCTGAATCAGTCTTTGGGTCTGAGGATGTCCAGGGATGACTGAAATACACAGGTGTCACCTAAGCTTCTACTTCCAGATAACCCAATGCCCAGCTACTTACACCCACTCTCCAAAACAGAAACAGGCACACAAACGTAAAGCCAAATGCAGTAAATTAGGAAGCCAACCCCCTCTTCACAATAACAAACCATACGTGCTACCAATACAGAGAAAGAAAAACCTGTCCACCTGATGTTACAACAGCTAAGAAAGAGAAAGGAACTAGCATTTATTTAGTGTATACTATATGCCAGATGCTGTATTAAATATGATGACTCCTTTATTACTGATGGCAATCCCATTATTAGCCCCATTTTATGAAATAGGAAACCAAACAAAACACAGAATTTAGAATGACAAATAAGGAATCCCATTTCCCATGAATCTTAAGTGTTTTTAAGTATCTGGGCATTAAATGCTCAGGCTCAGCAACAGATACAAGTTGAATAGTAAGATTATTTTTTACAGTAAATCTAGGAATATGTATTTTTATATACATTCACAGCTCAAGGTGAATTATAAACAAAAAAGAAAAGTCACATTTAATCTGATATCATACAACTTTCCTCCTATCGGAAAAAGCTAAATTAGTAAGATAGTCTTTGTGCCTAGAAATTGCATGACTTTTTTGAGAAGTACATATGATGTACCCCTCATAACAGTTAGTGCTGTGACAAACTCTGCTTCACAAACTTTATCGAAGAGTCTTAACTTCTACTCACCTTTTAAGCTGTATGAAAACTGATGTGAGTTCTTGAAAATGGTCCAATCAGGAGACAACGGTGTGATGTTACAAATATAGAGCTTGAACTGCTAAAAGGAAAAATAAAGAATTTCACCAAACCATTTCTTCGTTTCTCTTAATGCACCCTCCCTTTCCCCAAGTTCCAAAAAAATAATAATAATAATAAGTTGAGGACTATCACAATAAAAGCCACAAGTACCAAAATGAATAAAATAAGAACACAAAGGTAAACAACAAATAATAAAGGGAGAATTATAGTAAAAAATCTGAGGTAAGGGACATGACTGAGCTAGGGACAAAACCCCCTATCAGTTCTCGAGCAACCACAAGGGGCACCCTGTTCTTACCATCCAAACAAAAGAGACACAACTTATTCCTCTAAACACACAAAACTTTTCTTCAATGAGGGCCCACGAACAAATGAACAATGTCCTTATTGGATTTGGGTTTTTTTTTTAATCATAACAGTCTGAATTAACTTGTGAGCACATGGATCCACGCAATCCTTAACTGTAAAGAGAGGCAGGCTCAGGGGCACCTTTTTCCTCCCATGAAATATGTTTAATTTTGTGGGAGCAACAAGAACCCTTGCTTAGTGAAGACCCTTGGGGGAATACCCCTGGTTCTGTCTGAAAGGTCGTCTTTACACCTGCCCTTCAACCTGTTGGTAGAACATCCTCCAGTTTGGTGCTCCAGACTTTGTCCAGGTCTAGTCCCAGTTCACACAATCTGTCATGATCATCCTCATCCCACCTTGATGAGTATACTCTGTGTGCATCACACCATTCCAGGTCACATCGGGTGACTGCCTTGTGCCTTACAAAACAGTTTCAGGTAAACTCAGTCAACTCTGCCTCAGATACCACAAGCACCTCTCAGCACCCAGCCTGCCAATGTGTAGGATTACACTCCTGTCCAAGGTTGAATAAGGCACCATCTGTCTAGCTTGTGTGCTGTAGTGTACTCTCCAGGAGACTTGTCCCTTAAAGTGTGTTCCTACCATATGTCACTCCTGAGTGATCAGCCAATGCTAAGACATCCAGATAAAAAATTACTGTGTCTAGCCAGAGGATCCTATGAGATTCCTATGGAGGTCCACCCTGAACACATGAGCCAAACACCTTGCTGTTTTTATGTAACTCCTTAGTATCAATACTATGAAGCCACAGACATTACTTTCTCCTGTTTACTGTCTACTAAGAGAAGAAAACAAGCCACTTCTGGTTTTCTAAACAGTAGTTTTTATTCCTCAACTGGGATTGCTCTCATCAGTCTTCCGAGGATTCAAATGTTCAGACTTATTGAGAAAAAAAGTCAATGGAATAACCAGAAATGTACTGTGGTGGGCAAAATGACTCTTGAGTGCAGGCGGAACCTGTGACATGCTTCTAACCAACAGAATTTGGCAGAAGTAATGAGATGTCATTCCCTTGATCAGGCAATGCTATACAAGACTCCATCTCAGCAGACTAGAGAGTGACAGACTCCCTTTTTACCTCTGAAGAAGTGAACTGCTATATGGTGACAAGGACGGTGAGGAAGCCACATGGCAAGGAACTGCAGGGGCCTCGAGGAGCTGAGAGGCCCCCAGCTACACCCAGCAAGGAAACAGGAACATCAGTCCTATAGCTACAAGGAAATGAATTCTACCAACAACTTGAATGATCTTAGAAGTGAATTCTTCCCAATCCTACCTCCAGATGCGAACACAGCTGGGACCACACCTTGACTGCCGACTTCTGATATCCTGAGCAAAGAGCCAGTTAAGCCATGCCCAGACTCCTGACGCATAGAAACTGTGAAGTAATTTATGGGTGTTGGTTTAAGCTACTAAGTTTATGGCAATTTGTTAAGCAGCAACAGAAAATAAATTCAATTTAGTAATTAAGTATAGGGATGTATAAAATACATATACATTATATGCATACATAATTGATACAATAGAACAGCCATTCCTACCTGCCTCATCCATCCATAAGTGAAAGTTCATTTCTCCTACTTGACTATGAGCTCCTTCTGGGCAAGAACCACATCACCATCACCCTGACATCCCCTTAGACTCTGCAGAGTATGTAGCACATGGGAGGCCCTTACATTTTTTTAAATAAGCCAGATTAAAAGAGTTATGATTTGTCAATCTCTAGCTTACTGCAATAAGGCCAAAGCAACGGAATTTATGCAAACCTTCAAAACAGAGCAAAGAACCTCTAAATTAATTTCAACTTGGTGGAAGACACTTAGCCTCATGCTCTACCCCCAAATGATGAATCCACAATTTCTCCAGTATTGGTTATTTCATTTTACCTGTGAACCTGAGTCAGTGCTTAGAAATGTTTCTCAGTAGTCACTATTTTTGCCAAATATCCTTGCCACTTTTCTGGCATTTAGCTATCTAACAGCTAAAGGTTAAAAACAAAAAGATCCCTAAGAAATATTCCAAAGGAAGAATTTTGTTACTTGTTCTTAATTTCCCATTCATATCCATAATTCATTCCCAACCAAAATGGAAAAACCTGTTACAGGTCAAATAACCCAGCTCTAATTCTGAAACAAAATGCTAATCCAACTTCCTGACAACCTATATCAAAAGTGCTTTAAGATTGATTTTTTATTTTTAAACAGATGATTTTGAATTCTCTTAAGCAAGATTTTACTTAAGCCCTGTTTAAAATAAAAGTTGAATATGTAAATATGTTCAGTTTCTGCTATCCTTAAGAGACAAATTGTTTTTTATTACAAAGAAGATGGTGACTAAAGCTCTACTTTAGATTTTCAAAGGACTGGTTTAATAAAAGAGATATTTTAAAACATTCAAATCCGTTAAATTACTTAAGATACTACAAAATAAAAATTTCATTCACTATAGAAACCTATCTTACTCTCCTGAAGTCTATATGCAGGATTATATTATATAGTCCCACTCCCTCATAAATCACTCAGTAAACCTTAACATTATCTCCAAGGTTTATCCCCTGGTGCTGAGCCTCTCAGGCAACATAGTTTTCACACTCAAGCCAAAAAAAAACTAAAAACACCAGTTCCATGACATAGGAGGCAGAGAATTTCAGTAAATTCGCCTCTTCTTCTCAGCATAATTTTAACTCTCTTGGAGCCCAACTCTATGTGTGAAAATAACCAATGACCCACAACAGGGAACTTCACCCCATGCAAAGAAAGAAACAGGCCCAGTTTATAGACCCCACCCAGGTCCCTCCACCCACAATTCTAATAAGTACATGCCTTTTCCATAATCTCACAAAACACAGCTCAACACAAAGTCCAGTGCTTCAAAGAAAGAAGACTGAGAGTTAATATCATGCCCCCACAAAGGAAATTAAGCCTTCAGTGCAATGGTTCACCCAGAGGATGACCCTAAAGAGAATTATTATGCCTAGGACCTTAGAGAAGATGGTGGCAGAGTTCTTTATACATAGACAACCATACCCTGCTGCTTGTAATATGAAGCATTTGAGGAATCCATACATGGTTTTTCAAAGTGATAAACTATGGTCCTGTGGGGATGATGATCTCACTAGCCCCCAACCAACTTTTTTTACTTCTTCTTCTTCTTTTTAATTTAAATTTTACTTAGTTAACATACAGTGGTTAACAACATACTTAGTTAACAACACTGGTTTCTGGAGCAGAATTCAGTGATTCATCACTTACATACAACACCCAGTGCTCATCACAAAAAGTGCCCTCCTTAATACCCTTCATCCATCTATCCAATCCCCCCCACCTACCTCCCTCCATCAACCTTCGGTTTGTTCTCTATGGTTAAGTGTCCCTTATGGTTTATTTCCCTCTCTCCCTCCCCCCCAATATTCACCTATTTTGTTTCTTAAATTCCACATGAGTGAGATCATATATTTGTCTTTCTCTGACTGACTTATTTCACTTAGAATAATACACTCTAGCTCCTCCATCCATGTTGTTGCAAATGGCAAGATTTCATTCTTTTTGATGGCTGATTAATATTCCATTGTGTGTGGGTATGTGTGTGTGCGTGTGTGTGTGTATCTCACATCTTCTTTATCCATTCATCATTCGATGGGCATTTGGGCTCTCTCCATAGTTTGGCTATTGTTGATAATGCTGCTATAAACATCAGGGTGCACATACCCCTTCAAATCTATATTTTTGTATCCTATGAGTAAATACCTAGTAGTGCAATTGCTGGGTCGTAGGGTAGCTCTATTTTTAACTTTCTGAGGAACCTCCATACTGTTCTCCAGAGTGGCTGCCAAACCATCTTCTAAATGCCATGTTCCCAACACGTTTCCAGCAGTTTACACAGCACTGTAGGTTCAGTGGCCACAGTTTGGGAACCATGAGCTGGTGAGAGGCAGGGCAAGACTCAGAGGCAGAGTTGCAGGTATTCCTGGAAAGTAACATGAAGGAAGGAGGTCACCTCCCTTGCCCCAAGAAGGGGATACATGAGTGGCAATTAGACTGAAAAACCATAAGGGAAGTGAGACACATTTATTCTTTTTTTTATTATTATTTATTTGACAGAGAGAGAGAGAGGGATAGCGATAGCAGGAACACAAGCAGGGGGAGTGGAAGAGAAGCAGGCTTCCCGCTGAGCAGGGAGCCTGATGCGGGGCTCGATCCCAGGAGCCCGGGATCATGACCTGAACTGAAGGCCAACGCTTAACGAATGAGCCACCCAGGTGCCTGAGACACATTTATTCTTAACCTTCACAGTATTCTCACTTTATCTTCAAGGTAAAGGAAGACATTTATTCCAGACAAAGGTTAAGAGGGAAATCTGGCTGCACGCTTCCTTTCTCTGAAACAGGACTGGCTTCCAGCTGGGAACTGGAGCCATTTAAAACACAATGATGCCCGGAGACAAGAGAGCCCTTTTGTGTAAATTATAAGTTGGGCTGGAAAAAAAACACAAAGTAGTAGGTAATATACTTCAGTGTTACACAAAGAGATCAAGGAAAATAGAAAACAGAGGTCTCTTTCCCAAATCTATACTTACTTTACATCATTTTTCAGAAATGTTGAGGCATTCGTTAAGGATGGACTTACACTTCCACCCCAGATGCATAAATTT